AAGATAATCCTTTGTTGTCTCCCATGGGAGAAATTTGGATTAGGACGGGGGCATCACATGCTTTAACAAAAAAACACAACAACACAGCAACATAAGCACCAAACAAACAACCACGATAAAACAAATGAATAAAAGACCAAGTATGACCACGAGTTATCTCCCATCAGGCATCACAGTTTTCTAAAGCAGACGTCTTTTATTAAGTTATTTTGGGCCAGTATTGATTTTAAATACGTTTATATTATTATATATATAACACTATATATATATATATATATATATATATATATATATATATATATATGAACACAATATTATGATGATCATCATTATTATTATTATTATTATTATTATAACAATATAAATGTGTTAGTATTTTCTAGACAATAAAAATATAACAGTAGGCAATGATACAACAAGGTAAGTAACATGCCACAAAAGAAATCTGAAATATATATTGCTAGGATCATACTCTTTAAGTCTAAAAAACATGTTTAAATATACACATAAAAATTATTAAAAGCTATGTTATTTTATGCTGGTATATTGAAAAGTGAACTAGAGGCTGTGACTTAAGATTCACAAGTCATTTTTCAAAACCTTGTACTGGGATTATTGCTTTTTACTGCGTACTGATAAAAGTTCCAGCAAATATAATCACAGTGAATGTCAAGAACCCTCCCAAATGAAAAATCTCTTCTTCTTGCATCTCTGATTTTCAATAACAATAAAAAGCTGCTGACTAAATGAAGGAATAAACAACCCCGGGCCAAAAGTATTGTGCATATTATACTTGAGAGGATTTGGTCTGGCTGATCCGCTTAAGCAGCACCACGGAAAACAAAATGGACCAGTCATAAATCATTCTCTGCTTTACTTTTGCTACTATGGATTAAATGTTTGGTGAAAGTAGAATAACTATGAGCTCAAACTAATGAAAGAGACTTTCAAATAACTTCTGTATTCAAATGTTGTTGTTTCTTTGTTTATTTCTCTTGGAGATGAGTATGGACCTATGACCCAGAAACAACACGTAACAGGACAGGTTAGACATCAACTCCTTTGTCTTTGTATGGAGGGACAGGAGGCAAAATAGTGGTTAAAGGCTGATAGAGCGAAGTGGTCAATCTACTGGCTCACAGGTTGGCAGTGTAATTCCAGCTCCCACAGATGAATGTTGTCATGTTGTCATTGTGCTCTTGGGCAAGACACTTAACCCACTTCACCCCCAGTGTCTTCTGTGCATGAACGTGTGTGAATAGGTGAGTGGTTCCTTGACGTAAAGTGCTTTGAGTGCCTTGAAGGTGGAAAAGCGCTATATAAAAATGTGACTATTTACCATTTAAAGGTAAAGATATTACTTCATTATCCTGGCCTTCAAGATACTCAAAGTACTTCACAATGCATTATTCATCCACTCCACACTGACTGGTATGGTAAAACACTTGGAGCACACTGACACCACCATAAACACTCACAAACACACATTTATACATAAGGTAAGGTGGGTGAAATGTCTCTCCCATCATGTATTGGTCTCAGTAGGATTTGGACCACCAACCCTAGAAGCCACTAGACTAGCCCGACTGCTGGCTTGTGAATCAAGCAGAACTAACTTGCATGCTATTTTACAACATTCACAATTGCTAGAAAGAGCTACTGCTTAGAGGACCTCAAAGTTCATAATTACGTGTATACAAAACATTTGCCAAACAGAATGAGGAGATTACTAAAATGAACTAAAATCCTATCCAAATCTGAAATAAGTAAGCGTAAGTCCTTTCTCTTTATCCAAACAATACAAGTCACCTTACTGTAAGCTTCACATTCTTTCCCAAGAACCTGGGCCACCTATGACTCTATGCTTGAAACGAAACAGAAAACATTTCTAAGAAGTCAAATAAGAGGAAAACTATAATTTATCATTTCTGATTTTAACAAAAAAAAAAACAAGTCAATTTAGTAAAAACATATAAAAGGTTTTTAGCTCTATCAGATTGAAATGTGGTGGCTTCTTCTTTGAACGTAGAGACATCTTTTACAATTACAACAATGACCTCATCTACTCTAGGCTAAAACCTTTCCTATTCTAATTTCACTTTCCAATGCAGAGAGCTTTGAAGCTGTACCCAAACACTTTCTGATGCTTTGAGAGAGGGACTGTGGGGCGATAAGACATCATGGCTGAACTTAAAGTAAACACAATATTTTAGCGTAGCTGATTTAAAATTACCACAAAAAGCTAGGCAGGATCCATACTTTTCATCTTGTGTTTATCACTTTGACAGCACAGATTAAGCGACGAGACTAGCATTTGTTTTGTTTCGGATATGGAACAAATGGGTAATGGCGCACCAACTCTGGCAATTTGTTCAAAAGGCCACAAGAGGAAATTATGTTGCGTATTCCAAAACAAGAATCAAAAGGTCAGACTTGCCATAAAGTGATATTTCATTGTTGTTCCTAGAGAAAGCTCCCTTTAGCGATTCAGCTGTGCAGTGATTACTGTACGCACGGCCACTTTTCCCAATAAGTCTCTTTTCCATTTCTTCATTTGTGTTACAGTAGTTAGGGGTACAAAGATTGGTGGAAGGGAAGAGAAATGTCTGAAAATGTGTTATAATTTTAATGATTTTAATATGAACGTATCAGAATAATTGGATATGTATATTTCATATTTGTTTAAATGGAGGAATAACTACTGGAAATGTATCGTCTCGTTTTTTGAGATAAAACAGATCAGAGAAAGTTTCACACAGGGCATGGTCATTTTGTTCAAATTGTATTTTACAGTACACTTTCTGATGCAGCCAAAATAACTACAAAAAGTAATATATAGGTAAGTTAAAATGATTATGAAATGTATCACAATTTTTGTCTGGGATCCAGAAAACACACTGCATCAATACTTTATGAAGACGTGAGTCTGGTCATAGGTGAATTTGAAAATGGGGAGATTCACAGGTGTATTAGCCAATCTGGGACATGCATTATCCATCAGTATCAAAAAAAAAAGAAGGAAGAAATATCACAAGGGCTGAAAATCATTGCAGATTTCTGCAGAATCAGTGAGTGAAGAACTAAATTCTGTTCATCTGAGGTGAGATAAATTTTATTTGGTTTAATTATTTTGTATTTGGTTTTAGTAGGTGACCAATGAGCTCCTCTGTTTCACACGTGTCACTGAAAAAAGAAAAAAAAAAAAAAAAATCTGATTGCACGACTGACTGATATCAATCTGTAGAAAAAATACATAGAGATATCAGGCTATCTTGACTTGAGTAGATTTGAGTGAAATTATGAAATATTTACACGTAATAAGATGATTAAGGACAATAAGTAGTGTCCCATTGGTGAATTGTTTAACCCATCAAGTGAAATCTACACTTGACACAATATTCTTAATTTAAGGTTACTAGGTTACTCACCTAGATTTGACTTTTTCCAGTGTTTTGTCTGCAGTGTTGTGGACATCATAAAGTTTAATAAGGAAAAGTTGTCCCACTGAGCTCTGTCTCTCTAAGCTCACATTATAATTTAAGTTTAAAATAAAAGTGAAAATAAACAGCTCAAAGCTGGATAGATGAAGTCCCATTACATTTGTAGCGCTCATAAACCAAGCGCTCCCCCGCTGCCTTCCTTCCCCTGAATCCTCTCTCTGATGGATGATGCCCAGTTCTCAGGCTAACACAGTTTATTCTTTCATTACACCACGACAAACTTTGGTCCACGCGGGGAACTGTAACGGCCCCCATTATGGATTAGGTCATTACTGCTAAAATAAACCAAGCTTGTTTTGCCAGCACCCACTCTTACAGGCCTCTACTGCGGCCAAATAAACCAAGAGCAGCGTTATGGATTGGTGAGGTGTATACGCTACTATACTACTATATGCGCACTTCAATGGGGATGTCCAAGGGGTTTTGAACCTTAATGTGTAAAGTGAATGTTATGACTATATATTTGTACGTTATTATAATGTGCCAAATAAACAATGCAACTTTCAAATGTGATTTCCCATGTAGCCCCTCATTTTGAAACAAGCCTTTTTAGTGTAAACAAACTTAAACTATAATGTATGATACTGTAATTCAAAATCAGCAACCTCTATTCCAGGTGAAGGAGTGCCAAAATTGTTACTATTTACTGCCATCTTGTGGAAGATTTTATAACAACTTCAATAAATGATTACCTATGAGACGTTAAATGACCATAAGCATACTGCCAAGTTAGAGGAGCAGAGTGATTCCAAGGCTTTTTGGCAACTTTAACAGTACCAAAATTGCAATTTGATTATTAAAAAAAAAAAAAAAAAAAGATATACTTAAGTAAATGTTTGCTCATGTGACTGCACAAAATTATGGATTTTACAGTGTAATTTATCAACAAATTTTATGTTGATGTTTTTCTTGCAATTAGTATTCACGAATGTTCCTCGTGATAGTAAAATATAAATAAAAATAATTATATAATTCAACATGACAATAAAACACACTGTTAAAAAATGTCTGCCTGCCTAGGAATTAATTTTAATATTGTACCATTCGTTATAATTTTTTTTTACATTTCTATCCCTCATGGATCAGTAAAGTTTCTCAAAAGTGTAAGTCTAATTTTGTAACGACAAGCACCAATTTAGTTCTCAGGTATAATTCAATTATGGACTTGCTGAAAAGGCTGCTGTTACTTTCTGTTGGTGGTAGAGGTTTTCCAGGTGGTGGACTAGATAAACAAATTAGGTTTTTGAGGCCACATGGTGCTAACAAATTGGCTGTTTTGCGAGTTTGAGCCAGCACAAATAATGATCATTGGCCAGCAGCTGTCTATACAAACTGGGGCCAGCAGAATTACGCTTCCCACATCTCAAAATGGGACAACACAGAAGTCTCATCCAATATGGAAATTACATTTCTGTGAATACTGTAATGGAGAGAGGGCCACAGCTTGGCACTTGCAAACAGTTATAGATAAAAAACAGAAAACTAAACAAAACAGAATACCTGTCTCAACTTTGGAGTGGTCACTTCTTTCAGACACCTTCTCTTGGCTGATGAGGTAATCGGCTATGCGCACTCCGATTGGCGGTTCACTGTGGGTCCATTCCATGATGACCAGTGAACTGCTCGGCTCATAGGTGTAAGACAGTTTCAGCCTAGAAACAAAACATATACAGTCAAAAATGTGGTCAGCAAAACTGTCTTATTATTGTAACTGACATCTAACAGTAATTTGATTGTTGTACCATGACAGGATGCAAATAAATGGAAACACATGCACTGTTACTTAGCATTCATTAACAACTGAATAGTCTTTTCAGTGTTTGTAGACAGCAGCGTTTTAGTGACATTAATTCATCAAATAATAGCAATTTTTTACTAAAGGGATTATTTTTTAAATATATTTTATTCTATACAGCATCATTTATTATAATCCCTTGAGGAATAGATTTCCCTTATCTTACACATAGGCAAATTTGATTGATCCGCAAGGGGAATTATTTGGATTCAGTAGCTCACACATCGCAATATAATATAATAACAAAGAGCAAAAATATAAATAGTAATAATACATTCTAAGTAGGAAGAAAAGATAGCAAGAGACAGGTGTGAAATAAGACAATTATAGAAATGCAAATGTACAAGTGAAAATAAAATTGAAATATAAGTAATAAAATATAAACTCACAGCTTTGTACAAGAGGTCATAGGAAGACAGTGCAAAAATGATATGATGATTGACAGGACATAGGGTTATCTGTTACATAAGGGTGAGTTGTTGTATAGTTGTAGGGAGTATTATCTGTTAAATAACAATGAGTTACTGTACATGTGTATGGAGTATGGAATGAATGCAGTCCTGTATCTCTCACTGTTTGAGCAGAGATGCAGGAGCCTGTTGGAGAATGAGCTCCTCTGTCCCTCTATAGTCTGGTGCAGTGGGTGAGTTGTTGTACCGTTGTAGGGAGTATTATCTCCTCTGTCCCTCTATAGTCTGGTGAAGTGGGTGAGCAGGAGTGTCTATGATGGAGAGCAGTTTGTCCAGCGTCCTCCTGTCCCTCACTGTGAGAAATGTCTCCAACTCACAGCTGATGCACAGTATGTCAACATGTAAATAGATAACCTGTCATGACTATTTCATCTTTGATATAGATATATTTGTATTACTATATATATATTTTTTTTGTTTTTATTTTTACTTGCATATATACATTCATATAATTATTCCTTATTTGACAGCAATCTCTTGTTATTTTTTCTACTTATTTTTAATTTATTATTACCATATATTTTTACTCTTTGTTATTATAATATATTGTAATGTGTAATGCTCCTGTGTCCAAACCATTTCCCTTGTGGATCAATAAAGTTTACTTAGGTTAAGAGGTAAATAAAACTATATGTTACTTCTGAGAGTCCAAACTTCACTGTCATTGGTTAAAGCCACCTGTTGGAGCCCCAATAAGACCAGCAGGTGTGTTTGAGCATTCACCTGCATTTTAACAGAGAAGCACTGAATCCCAATCACTATCACAACTTCATGACTTTTTTTTTTTTTTTTTCATTTTCTATTTCAGCTTTCCCCTTTTTTGCAACACTTCATCAATTTCCTTGTAGTGTGCAGATTGCGCTGGCATATAAAATATCTGATTTATTGCTGTGAAAAGAAAATGGCAAAAGCGTACTTGTCTCTGAGGCGCTGCAGGTGCAACTTGTGCAAATACAGTGCATCGCTTGTGGATTGTGCTAGCTTAGCGATTAGCACAATAGCACATTAGCTCGGGGCAAACAGCTGGAGCCTGCATTGACGTCTTCACCGTTCGGTCCCAACAAAGTTCCCCCAGCAGGAGATGGGACCAGGCCAGTGCCATGATGGATGGTATTTACAGCGGGCCGTTTATGAGTGATGTGTTTTTGGAGGAGCTAATGTGGTTGGTGCGGGCTAACCTGGGCTGGGGAAGTGGGGCGCAGGTGGGCAGTCCATCTGAGCCAAAAGAGCTGGAGTCGCAGCGGCACCAGTCATCGATAACATCGCCTTTCCCTGAGCACCACAGCATGCTCATCATGGCCTCCTGAAGAGCCTGTGTGCACATATGGAGCAGGTGTGAACAGGACACAAAACAATGGAAAATACTTACGGTACATTTGCTACTGACATTATACTACATTACATATTGCAAGTCTGAAATAGCTCCTTTATGCCTGAAATACTCATTCACACTTTTACTTTTTACAGTAGCCTATGTTCAGAAAACAATATAATACTTAAAATTGTGTATTATGTGCATGCAAAATGAAATTAGAGAGAACTTTGATATCATGTTACTTGACTGCTGTTAGTAAGAAAAGATGCTCTACCTTGCGGTGTTAAACTAAAAAAGATTTTTTTTTAAAAGATCAGGGAGTTCACCATTTAAGCGTAATTTTACAAATGAAAACTCAGGGATAGATTTAGGCACAGTTGGATACAAAATAAAGAGCTTTCCCTTAAGAATTTTCAGATGCCAACTGAAACTATGCCTAGTGGCACTTAGTCCTCCAGAAATGTGTTCAATTTAGAACACATTATAATCACACATTGCTCATGGCATCAGCTCTTCACTGTAGTAAACCACAGTCAAAATATTCAATTTGATTCAAAGACAAATGCTTTTTGATTGACACTGTAGGACATGATACTCTATGGATGTGGGGGTGACTGTTTTAAACACTTGTTTACACACAGTGTTTTTATCATTCTGAAATAGTGAAGTGTAGTAGAGCTGCTGTAGAGCTGCTGTGGTACAGTTGTCTTGTGCAACCTGCTCTGCCTGTACTGACAGGGGCACTTGGGGTTTGAAGCTCTTCCTGTGTGCATTGATATTCTTTCTGGCCAGTGTTACTAAAGCTGTATTGATGTAGTACAGGACATTATATAACACACAGCAGGCAACCAGCCGTGTAAAGAGAGGCCATACATGAGCAATAACCTTTTGGTTGAAAAGACAGTGATTTCTCTCCTGTGATCATGGCTGGTTAAAACCTCCAGTTGAGCTAAAGTTTACTTTCAGAACTCAAACTGTCTGTGCATAAATGCAAACACTTTCACAACTTTGTTTGCACCTTTTGACTTGATAAAATTTGCAGCATATTCTCTCTGTTTTGACAGAGACATCATTACTGGAACTAATGATCTATGTATTTCCTTTTATATAGACAGTTAAATAAAAGAGTATCCAGACCTACCTGATATGTCTCATTGTTGGACACCAGCTCGTAGATGGGGGCTGCCTTGGTGATCTGCAGTAGGACAGGTTCAGAAGGCTGTCGTCCCTGTGCTGCTCTAGGGCTCATGTGGCACAGGTGACAGGCGCGGGGACACTGGCCCTGGCTGGTGCAGTCCATCCTCACGCCTGCAGCCATACGCTTGGCTCCAGTGTCCAGCAGACTGGCTATATACGCCGGGTAGGTGAGGGTCCGAGGCTCCTTATCACGCTCCTCAGACTCTTCAGAGGGAGAGTTACCTGAAAAACAGAATCAGGGAGTAAAGTAAATACAAAAAGGACACGAAAACCTTTCCAAAGGTCAAATAACACAGTTGTTTACCCTATTGTAAAATGTACTATACACTATCCATGATACTGAGCCAATGAAAGCTGAAGTAGAAAAAACGCTCTCAGTGTGACATTTATTTGTGAATTGTATGTATGAGAATCTGACAAGTGAGACATATTTTGAAGAGGAAAGAAATGCTAGAAATGCTAGACAAACATAAGATGGGTAAAGTGAATATATATTAGGCAGTCAGTACACAAATATGATCATTCTTATGCCAATCTGTACCCCCAGAACAACTTTATGTATTAGGTTATATACTTCTTCAATTGATGTAGAAATATGTATTACAATTTTAACCAAAACCTCAAGTGCCCTGTTGCATTTTTATTCCTAAAGCTGATCAGTTTAGTTTAAGATGATTATAACCTAAGAACACTTAAAAAGACACTGCAGGCATGTGTTTAATCCAATAAGGGAGCGAGGGAGAGGATAGGATAAACACAGAATATTCTTACAGGAGCGTGGTGTAGCTACTGAGCATTACCACAGCCTCACAGTCCCCTATCTGCCATTTAGAGACCTTTTAGCTCCTTACATCACACACACACAATACACAGGCAGCACTGTAAATATTTGAGTTACTGCTACAAAGGCGCACATATTCTCCTTTGAAAAGAAGGTAGAAGGAATGCACCTAGGCTATATTATATAACTTAATATTGGTACTTCAGAAAGAGGGATGAGATTTGACAAGAAAATGTATGTTTACAAAATACGTAATCTATACCACACATCTACACGTAATCTATTTTTGAGGAAAACTCCATATTTTAAATATATTGTGGATCTTACATCAACATTTGATTAGATATATTTTCTGAACAGGGCAGCTACAGTAATCTACTTCTGAAAGATGAATGTTCACAAAAAAAATAAAATAAAAATATCTGTATGTTTCCTGAAATAACATTCAAATCTACACAATTATATGTGGTGACATGTTTTAAATATTATAGTCTCTGAATCTTAAATCCAGATTTTTAAAAGGCATGTTTTTATTTTATCTTTTGGACAGGGCAGAAGTGTAAAAAGGAGGTGAAGAGTGGGGAGAGACATTCATCAAACTGTCTTTTCAGATAAGGTTTAGAGCTCTTGTATATGGTCCTATTACTGCAATAATTTTGGCACTCTTTTTCCTGTTCCAAAAACAAAAACAGTTTGTTCCTTGAGGCGGTTCATGTTTGTAAGTCCCTGGTCTGTAGCTCCAGCCTTGGGCCCACAGCACTGCTCTGACAGGCTGACAGCTGACTGACAGATTTTGGGGCAGAAACCACAATCCAGCATCCACTAACACTAACAACTCCATGCCTCAAGGTTAACATACTTTTTTTAAGATTTAAGTGTGTCTGTTTTCAAACTGTCCTGTTTTGGATAACACAACAGTTTACGATCTATTGGAATCTAAAAAAGAACAAAATCTGTGAACCTATAAATACACCACACATATGAGTCAACAAGAATGACATAGCGTTAGTAACTGATGGATTTCCTCTTAGCTGTTTTGGACACATGATGCACACCATAAACCAATTACCAGTAATGCATTAATTAAGGACCAGACATGTTTGGTTGAGGTTGATCAAGAAAAAAAAAAAAAAAAGACAATAATGCTCAAATGGAAGCAAATGAATCTATTATGAAAGGTAAACAGCAGAGAGCTCACAAATCATGGCTACACAATTCTAATAAATCATTTGCAGTAATCCTTTATGATTTATGGCTAGAAGAATATGTTAAATGGTAAATTGCCATATCTCAAAATGTTACAGGATTATTTGAATGAATGGATGGTGCTACTTTTTCATATCCACAGGTTTTGGGGTGTTATTTCAACTTTCAGTGTTTTCAACATTAGCTGCTGCACTTAGAACACTTAACATTAGATTTGTCAGCCTCTCACCCTGATTTATTACATTTTCAAGTGCCTTTCTCTCCTGCTCTAAAACACTAGCTCACACATTTATTCCTATGCTAATAAATGTGTGGTAGGTGTGAATGAGGAAAACTGTAGCGTTGTGTTGCATCTAAAACAAGAAACTGTTTGAGTTTTCACACATTCTGACAATATCCCGCCGTTCACATCGCTTTAGTCTTCTTCCATGAGGCGTTCTCAAACCATCAAAGGTGTACTCACACTTCCACCTTCCTGTCAAGTCCTATACATAAGACAAACAGCTTTAAGCTGCAGAGCTATAGGGCTTTGAAGACTATAACAAAACAGGGAGAATGCAATTCAACAGTTCAAAAGTGTTTCATTTTGATTTGATTTACATTGCTTTAAATAGGCAAATGCAAGTCGGATTTTAGAGAAAAATGTTAAAATACAGCCGCACTCGGATCTGCATTAAACGGACCACTCAACACAGGTGGTCTCAGAGTGTCTTCTGACGCTCTCTGGAGAGAGGTGAGTGTGGTATTACCGACCATCGCAATCTGTGGTCAAAGTGAAAAGGCTTAGAATTTGATTAAAAAAAACAAACAAAAAAAACACTTAGATCATGGATATTGTTTGAATGGCTGTGGCAAAACTGGGAATTTACAACCTTCATTTAACAAAGCAAATTTTATCAACTTAATATCGGTGACTCTTCTCTTCCCTCTGTCTGAGTAGGTCAGACTCTGCTTGGTCTGTCAGCTCCTCAGAGAGGTTCTCTTCTTTGCCCCCAATGCAGATTGTGTACATTGATGTACATGTAGTAGGTGACAGATAAGACCACATAAACATGTGAGGTGATGTTTATAATGAATTATTCATTGTAACTACAACAATTTCTATGTAAGTTACATTTTCCAAACAGTGGCACTGACATGTGCTCTCACAACACAGATGCAACAAACCTTTTCAGAATCTCCATTTCATATCACTGTAAAGTCATGAATATATTTTCATTTAATTCCGCTGATAAGCAGTGTGTTTGGCTAGTGACTCATCATCTCTATAGCACACAACAGATGGAGGAGAGCTATTCAGTCTTTATAATGGTGTTTTTCATTTGCCCATGCTCGCTGGATTCTCCTTCCTTCATGAAGCGTCTTGAGTGACTTACACAGTTCACAGTGCGCTACCATAACATAAGGGCTCATAAGCATAAGACTGTAGAATGATTTTGAAGTCTTTGTTTCCCTTTTATTGGCCCTAAGTGGATTTTCTATTGCAATTCATCAAGACACATTGTCAAATGTAAAGTCAATTAAATCAGTATTCATCTTAAAGTGGAACTAAACTCTGCCTGCAACCACGAGGAGGTTGGATAGTTCAATGAGAAACAGTTTGGCATGATCTTTAAACTCCACCCTTGCAGGTGTGTGTCTCTCATGACATCAGAGGTGTGTGGTGTCACAGGCCTCTTAAAATGCAGCAGTAGAGTATAACCACAGCAGCACACTCTTTTTTATGGTTTCAGACATCTAAGATGTATATTAACATAATAAGCAAGAGGTAAAAAAAATAAAAAATACTAGGAACTGTAGATAATGCTACTTAAACATCATGGACACAGTTTAGTTGCAAACTTAAGGTCCACTTTAAGAGTCTTATTCTACACTCTTTTCTTTTAAAGTCAGTTTTATGATGATTATTTATGCTTTTATTTGTTTGTATTGTGATTCTGCAAGGCACTTTGGATTACTTTGTGTACGAATTGTGCTTTACAAATAAACTTCCCTTAACTTAAGGCAGTGGTTGCCATAGATTAAATGTATTGAGTTGTACCTAAAGAGTACTTTAACACTTTGAATGTGTTGAATTGCTTTATTAACAGTTTTGTTACTTTTACTATAGTTGAGGCAGTGTTTTATATGTGGTGTATTAACTTAGTGTCCATCCATTTATGGTAAATTTTCTCTTGGTTTCAGTATTTAGACTGAGGTAAGTAAAGACATAAACCGACTTTACCTGATTTAGTAATATAGTTTCTTAATTTAGTACTTAGTTATCACATCTGTGTTAATCAATACAAGATTTCATTTGTTTGTGGATAAGATTTGATGTAGGGCTGCTCTAATGCTTAGTCTGCATAGGCTTAATTTAGTCCTGAGTATGAACCTTCTTTGTAACACTGCTCTAATGTAAAGTGTAGTTAGTATTTTGTTCACTAGATGGTGCTTGTGTATCACTGTCTCAGCAGTTTCTCTCTTCCCACATGCTGTACTTTCTACATAAACAGGGCAGACCATAGCTCACCTTTTCTGCAAGTCTATCATGAACATTATACAGTTATAGAATGGAATGATTAGCGTAATCTGCACAGTGACAGAAACAAAGGCAGTGGTTTAGAAAACAGGAGAACAACCAGAAAGAAAACAGCATATGGGAAAAGAATCATGCATATTTATGCAGAATATATATTAATAGAAAAATAATGTTTAAATGAGACAACTGCAGTATAGTAAGACTTCACTAGAAGTCAAAAGCCAGAAAGACTGGAACAAAAATATCTCGACCCAACTCATATTTATAGTCAGTACTGCAAAAGAAAACGGCAATGTATTTTTACAGTCTTGTAGTTGCTTGTACTTTCAGTTAGTAATGCCAGACTGACACATTCAGCCTTTTGCCATTTGAATGAAAGTTGTATTCACTAGACAAACTGTGATAGTGAACTTCAATGACAATCTTGAAAACAAGAAGGATACAGCACACTTCAGTATACTGTATGTGCACATACTGTTATCTTTGCAGCCTATGGCAAGATTATTTTCCCTCAGTAGTTGTCTGTATATATACAGTAGTCATCTTGGACTATTCCATTCCACAAAGTCCACACTGGGAACACTGCTATAGGAATTACATATGAGGGGCCTGCAGTCCTGCTTATGATCTCAACTGCTGAAGTGCCCTTGGGCCAAGCATTAAATCAGAGCTGGAGGCTACATAGACTGCACCTTCACCATTCTCTAGCGCACA